GTGCAACCTCTGTCCAAAGGGACGTGTCGGAGATGGAACAATGCCAGAAATGTCATGTAATTCCTGTGATATAACAACAGTTATCAGAGTCTGCCGCGGCTGCCGTATGCCGGTGGGACACGACCCTTCCATTTGTGAGCCGCGTGGCTACAGTTAGGGGGAAAGAAGTTGGAAAAAGGAGAAAAAATGAGCGAAACTGAAGTCGGAGGACAGCGAAAATAATGCCGGAAGTTAAGCGACATCACTACATCACCGAGACCGAAGACATTGTTGAAAAAAAAGGTTAACACGACATCAATTGTGTGGACGTGTTTGGATACGCAAACGCGACCAAGGAGCAGGCGAAGCCGGTCTGCAAAATATGCGGCGGTTGGTACCAAGCAGACGGGAACACAACAAACTTTTCCATTCACCTGAACGCACCACCCAGTAATTACACTGAGAGTGTGACTCTGCGGGCTCAAGCTGGCACGACACCACACACACAGCCAAGCAAGACCACTACGTCTGCCGTTAGCATAAACAACAACAATCCACCCAGTCGTGCTTTGCAGCCATTGCCCCGTATGAAAAACAATCAAAGCGGAGCAAAAATATAACGAGCGCTATTACTTATTGCCTCGCTAAAGATATGATGCCCCTGAGCACAGTGGAAAAAGACGGCTTCAGGAAACTGATCAAAGTGTTAGACCCCAGGTACGAGCTCCCTGCTAGAAAATACTTTTCACAGCTTTATGATGAATGCCGTCGTAAGCTGGAAATTCATCTGAAGGATGTAAAATACTTTGCCACTACCACCGATCTTTGGTCCAGCCGTACATCTGAGCCTTATATGAGTCTCACAATTCATTTCATTGACGAGGAGTGGGCTCTACACTGCAAATGTTTACAGACAGTATACTTTCCAGAGGACCATACTGGGGAAATCATGAGCCAGGGGCTGGAGGATGCACTCAAATCCCGGGGCCTCAGGGAAGAGCGACAGGTGTGCATCACAACAGACAATGGGGCAAACATTGTCAAGGCTGTTTCCCTCCGAGGCTGGTCCCGGCTGCACCTTGCCATTGGTAAGTTCATGATGATATACATTCTAACTATTCTAACTAACATTTTGCATCTAAGATGTATTAGAATTAAGAGTTTATTATTGCATCACTGTACTCAACTTAAATTGAGGAAAAATATTTGTATGTGTGTAGTCTAATAGATTTTCATATCAAGGATGTCATGACAATATTATGAAGACAAACTCATTTTTAAATAATACTCTACAGAGCGAAGGGTGAGAGACAAGAGAATAGAGAGCCATGGGTGTGTGCAAAAAAGTGGTTGGTGCTTTCTCATTCTCATGGAAGAAGAAAAAAGAACTAGCAGCTGCACAAAAGGAGCTCCACCTACCTAAGCACCAGTTGATAACAGAATCACCTACCAGGTGGGGTTCTCGCCATGCAATGATAGCACGAGTACTGGAGCAGGAGAAGGCCATTTCAAAGGTTTTATCTGCCGATAGAAAAACAAGGCACCTGGCTCCCTCATGACAAGACATTGAGGTCTTGGAGTCCATACACAAGGCCCTTAATCCACTTGTTGACTTCACTGATGCCCTCTCTGGTAAAGCACACGTCAGTGTCTCTTGTGTGAAACCTGAACTACAACTCTTCAATACAGAGGTCTTGAAGCCAGGAGAGGATGACAGAGCTAACCAAGGCCATCAAAACTAAAAATATGATGCTGCTGCCACTGATGACCTCCTTAACATGGCATCCCTTGTTGATCCTCGGTTCAAGACCCGCTACATCCAAGGTGACAAGGTAGAGGCTGTGAAATCCAGAGCTGTGGCACAGATCCTGGGTGACTGTCAGAGCACACCGCAGTCTACTCTCACACCCAGACTGGGCGGAGGCGAGGCAGAGGCTACAGCTTCAGCTCCCCCAGCCAAAATGCAGAGGAAAACACTGCGCAGCTTTTTCAAGACGTCCTACTCTGTCTCTACCTCTAGTCTAACAGATGAGCAGGATGTTGAGGCTGAACTGAACAGTTACCTGCTAGCTCCAGAAGCAGACAGTGACACCAACCCCCTGGCATGGTGGAAAACCCACTTCACATCATACCCCAGAGTGAGCTTCCTGCCACCAGCTCACCCTCACAGCGTGCTTTTAGTACAAGTGGCAATATTGTGTCCTGCCATAGGGCAGCTTTAAAGCCAGATGTGGTGGACAGACCTGTCTTTCTTGCAAAAAACCTATAATGGTGTAAATGATGTTCACTAGTGCACAAGATGTAGAATAACTGTGACTGGTTTACTATGTTTACATATTGTGCAATTTTGGCTCAGATTTCGTTCTACTTATAAAACATTTCTAGAGATCTACCTCAATCTTTCAGGTAGCATTTGTGCCAGGGCCATGTTTACTCTTTTTGTACTTGAGATGTTCACTGTCCAGCCAAAGCAATTTGATGTGATAGTTGTCACAGCTGTTAGTTTATATACAATGTTTCAATAAGTAAAAGCTTGTATTATTGTGTAAAGGGACATGACTCATGTTTGCAGTTACAAATGATGTGCACAACCTGCTATTTTTTCACTTTTCAATACCTCCAAAAAATCTCTGGGAGGTAAACCAGTATAATAGTATTATAGTGGTTTAGTTTTTACATTTATTTTGTTTAGCACTTGAATGTGTCAGAGGGTGTGACCCACATGTTTACTTAGTTTGGTTTTGTGCTGCCTCTACAAATATTTGAGATTATTATTATTTAATAATTGTTTTTGAAGTTGTTTAAATAAGTTGTTGTTTACAAAATCAAAAAATTTAAAATATAGTGAAAAGTGACCAGTCACTTACTAGTTTGCACTTGTTTGAAAGCATATAAAACTCTGTATGAGTGAAAGAGCGCTGCTCTGAATTTTCTTTTGCCAGTTGTGGGCCCTGCTGCTCTCTTGACCAATGGAAAGATTCATACAATGTGGGAGTGTAATCCTTTGTCTGCATGAAGACCTTAACAAAAACATTTTGTGCTCATTATTGGAAGGCATATTCTTTATTTTTTTTGTTATTAAACTTTATTGTAAAGTTTCAGTGAATCTCTTGTTTCTTCAAAGCTTCAGGATTCCTACCACACTGGCAAGCATTCTGCAAAACTACATATCGTGATAAGAATCGAGATCGATCAATATGGAAAAACATATTGTGATAAAAAAAATTTCCATATCGCCCAGCCCTAATTCTATGTTACATTCAACTTTCTTAATGCATCCATTGTGAATATGCATAAACAACTAATTGTACTATAATTCATACTGTATTTCAGGTTTATATATACACACATAAGCATGTAGATTAATGTAATGCTCACCTTCGGTTAAATGATATATCCAGGCAGACAGTACTTGTCTGGTACCGTTGATGAGGGTCTGACATCGGTACCGGCCCGAGAACTTATCCTGGAGTGTGTTCACCTCAAGGATGCGGCCTCCCACCAGCATCCTGTACTGCAGACCCTGATCCAGACCAGGACTCCGGGTCTGGGCCACAACTGAAATCTCCTTCAGGGTCTGGTTGTTAAAGTCCCAGCGCACTGGCAGTTTGTGGTCAGGAACTACTGGACAACCTGTTGAAAGGCAAAAGCAGATTGAATGTAAATGTTGACATTTGAATAGCCTGTTGATAAAGCTTTATGTTCCCAGGGTGCGTACCTATACGTAGATTGTCTCCGGGTTTGACAAACACACTCGTTCCACGACGTGACGCCATAAGGACCCTTCTCCTGTTCAGCTCCTGTGGGACTGGGACCACCCTGCTCCCTCCAGCAGGGTATGGACCTGTACACATGCACGCACATCCACATAAGCAATTTAGAGATGAAGACTGCCAGCCATGAGAAGTTATGCGCGACTGGTGCATTAACCCACCGTAGACCTGCAGGACAGTCGAGGCAGTGGACATTCCTATGGCGTTTGTGGCGGTGCAGGAGTAGGTGCCCCGGTTGTGCAGAGAGACATTTCTGATCCACAGTGAGCCAGACGGCAAGGAAACAGCGCCAGCATCTAAAGGTTCATTATTCCTGTGCCACATCACGTTGGGCTGAGGAACGCCTGACGGACGTAGGAAGAAGATAAGAAGTTAGGGAATAAGGGCTTAACAACATTGTGTCTAAGAGGGATTAAAAAATAAATCCCACTTTTTTTAAATGACTGACATCCTATTTCTAGGACCAGATTGTAGGATTTAGTCGCATCAAGAACCGTAGTTGCAGATTGCACCTGTGTTTATTTTACTGCACTTTGTCTAATTGTGACTGCAGATTTCTCAGAAACCTCTCCGCTTTCTTGCCCCTTTTTCATACCTTATTCACAGGTAGTGTCTTGCAAAATGTATGAATTTTACAAATGCTCCATTACAATAAAGCCAATCGCTATCGGTTTTATCCTATCTGTATTCTTGAAGGTTTTTAAAGAGGGGTTTGTTCATATAACATTCATAACCTTGTTATATATCTTTTAATCCACACGTCTGCGCATTTTAAAGTGCCTTTTTAGTAGAAACTAAATCGTTTGTGTAAAGCTCTATTCCTGATCTATCTTTCCACAGACACCAATGCAAACAATTTACACTAAAGTCATTCTTTTTTTTTTGCCCTGAATCTGACGACAAAGTAGACTATTTGCATATTTTAACTTACATTACCCAGCCATTTCTGTTTATATGTTTATATAGTGAATTGTAGTTAACCTCAAATAGCCTAGGTTACAAAATATAGATATATATATTGATTCAGTGCCTTTTTATTGGGTATCAATCTTGCATTTACGCACGTATTAACAAAAAAGTACACCTGAAGCATACGCTTCAGGTCGTGGTTACGCCCGAGCGTGGTTATGTTGAGCCGGTATAGAGAGCTGAATAGATCAAAATTAGAGCATATGCATGAGACGTTCAGTTAAAAGAACTGCGTCCGATACGTTTGTGGTCTATCACAGGTAAGGGTACGTGTCCACAGGGGCATTTTTAGATGCGAGGGATTGTGCCAGCTTACCATCATAGGACGTTTGTAGTCATATTGACCAACAAAAGGCTAAACCCACCTACAACACACAAACCTGGCTGCACCAGATTGGATGAACTGACATGGCAGGTCGTTTGGAAACTTATACTGTGAAAATAGTTCACAGAAATGTTTCTGAAACATTTTTGGCAAAAAAGGCCACCACAGTGCTGAAATCTGTTTCTTTTTAGGTTTGAGTTTTTACCGTAATTTCCGACTAATAGATCCTCCAGAATAAGCTCGCTATCAGTCAAAAATGCCATGAAGAGGAAAAACCATCATATAAGTCGCACCGACTATTTAAGCGCATTTATTTTAGAAATGTATTTCACAAAACCCATGACCAAGAGCAGACAGAGACTGTAACTGGACACATAGAGGCCAAAAAGACTGAGAATTCTACCGGGAATGTTAATGAAGACGAAGGAGTGAAATGCTGATGTGGTACATGAAAATTTAGCTAAAAATGTGGAGAATGCAATCAAGCATTTTGGGCGA